ACAATTTAATCATAAATCAATGAAAGACAAACAATACATGTATCAAGAAAACACATTTGAATTATTTTACCAATTCCAGTATATTATCATGCATTTAAAGATATAAAATCAAACAATTAGTTAAATAGGATAAAAATAATAAATAACCGGTTCTGACTCCATTAGTGACCTATAATTAATTCTTAAAATTTTCTAAATTATGCAAAATACTGTATTATTGATAATTAGACTTTAATTCCATAACAGATAATAAAGTGAGAGATTCTTACCCGAATCAGTGTCCAAAATACTGAACTTTCTACTGCACCTACTGGCGATCTCTGAGTTTTCTGAATTTTTCTGCGGAGATTAAAACACGCTTTATATATTTAGAAATACCCCAAAAAATCCAAAATTGGTGTTAAAAACCTTTTTCAAAAAATTTTAAAATTTCGACATGGCGGCATCATTGCCCGTGGCAGTAGTTTGCCTCAACCTGGCCATTTTCAGCCAATTTTGGCTGGTTTCAGGTGATTTTTATACACATCCATGCAATAAAACACGTTAGAGGGCTTAGGTTGGTCGAAAAAAATTATGATTTTTAAAAATTCACCAACGGTGAAATTTTTCAGTGCGGCAGTTTCTCAGGCTCACCTTCGCCACTAGACATTTTTCTTTGGTCAACCTGTAGAAAATAGAACGGTGAACACAATTGTAGAAAAATCACACGAAATGAAAATCAGGAAAGGGCTCATCAGAGGTGATTTTTGGTTTTATCCGCATGGCGGCGCCGAGTTTTACCTGTAGTTTCCGGCTCATCCGTCGTTTTTTTGTTCTGATTTGGCCATGAAGGTGTTCAAAATTAAATTCCAAGCGGATAGGAGGAATTTTAACTTTTTTGGTGGTCGGAGGTGGATCAGGCGTAGCAGCGGGTGGCGGTCGGCTCCTTTCTCCAGCAGGGAGCTTGCGGCTAGGGTTTGGATTTGGTGTGATGTGAGATATTTATACCTATCTCTCTTAAATTTAGGCCGTTCATCGCATTTGATCACGACCGTCCGATTACGTTTAAAAAGAAAATGAATTTGGACCTTTATTCACGATTTGATTTTAACTGTACGATCGCATTTAAAGAGGGAACGAATTTGGGCCGTTCATCGCATTTAATCGCGACTGTCCGATCGTGCCTGAGGAAGGAACGGATTTGGACCGTTCACGCGCACGAGAATGCATCCAACCCGTCCAATCGAGGGCACGCAGATTGCCAGCATGACCTCCTGCGTGGCACCGAGTCAGTGTGCCTTGCCACGCAGCACGCTCCGGTTCGTTGGGGCTGCTGACTGGACGGTCCTTCGTGGCTTATTTTTCTTTAATTGCATTTTGACATCCGGTTTCTGAATTTTCTTTCAAAAATACCCACCGAACCCAAATTTTCAATCAATTTTTCCAAAATTATTTTTAATTTCTTCATCCACCAATTTTTTTTCATAATTTTACATTAAATAAAATTTAAAAATTATATTTTTTTAATTTTAAAATTAATTCCGGACCAAATTTCGGGTCCGGATATTACAAAAATATCGAATAAAACTTTTACTACATTAAGTAATTTTCTCTGGAATTATCTTAAATTTATTTTTCTCTAAATTGATATAATATTACATTTAAAATTCTAATTACAAATAATCGAATTTAGATATTCAAGTACTTAAAACTCTATATATAAATGCAAATAATAGACAAAAAAAAAAATCTAATTTTATTTTTAAAATTGGCAAAAAAAATATATTAATTTTTTTCAAAATATTTTTATTTGATAAGGAAGTAATTGTAGGTGGAATCTCACAACAGTCGCTAAAAAACAAAAGCTTATCCTTCCTATTTGGGCTAATTGACAAAACAAAATCATCAAATTGGAAATTAATCATTAAATTCTCTTTATGTACTATTTTAACATATTTTTTAATGCTTTAATTTTTTTTTTCTCTACTACATTAAATTGTCTATATGGTCGGTTAAAGCACATACACAGTTTATATTACACTAAGTTATATATATATATAAGAATAATATACATATATATATATGTATATGTATGATACTCTCATGATGATATTACTTTTTGAAAAAGGCAATGCCAAACGGTTGGAATCTTGAGTAGCTACTTGCTTCAATGGAGATACATTTAAGATAAATTTAAAAAGATATATTTGATTTACCTAAAAAAAAGTTTAAAACTTTGTATATAAATTTTATATATACATATATGTTAACATGAATATTACAATATTATAATTAGTTTGAGAATTGGGTTTTGTTTTCTTTTTAAAAAAAGACATAAACTATACATATATATATATGTATATTATTCGATTATATATAAAAGGGATTAGTTGTTAATGCACTATATAGGCTTAGGAGTGGATATGCGCTTGTAAATTTTTTATCTAATATTAAAATAATCAAAATTTCCAAAATCATAAATTGATTATGTAATAATTTGTAACATAATAGTGACAAAGTGGTGTCGTATGAATTAAAAAGGGAAACGAGGGGAGGATTTTAGTAATAAGGAAAACTCGAGGGACGTAGGAATAAATAGTGAATAATTGGAGGACCTAGTTTGCAAAACCCAGCATTAGTTAGAAGAAAAAGACAGAGACAGTGATATGGGCACCAAATGGTGCGCCTTTCACATTTCAAGTAAAATACTTGAAAGACAAATAAACAAACAACTAGTCCTCCTAACTAAAATAAATAAATAAATTAATTAATTAATATTTTAAAAAATAAAAATAAAAAAACCAGATGACTCCTAACTAGAATAAAAAATTATAAAAAATAAAATAAAAAATTAGAATAACTTGTAAATAATAATATTAAAAAAATAAATAATTTAAAAAAGAAGAAATGGAATAGAATATGCTTGTATGGTGGATATTGCAGCAAAAACAAAAGACGAGAGAGAGAGAGAGAGAGAGAGAAGAGAGAGAGAGGAGGGAGCTGCCATGGTTAAGCAAAGATGAGAGAGAAGAAGAAAGCAACAACAACAACAGGAGGTTGACAGAGGGTTAGAGAGAGAAAGTAGAGAGAGAAAACGGGTTTAAGGGAGAGAGGGAGAGGGAGAGAGAGGGGGTTTTTAGGTCCACCAACTGGTAGTTAAGAGATAGAGCTTCTTAACCAAACAAATTCGATCTTAACCAGAGAGAGGAATTTTGAAATTACAATTGATAGGAGGTTGAAGAAGACGAAGAGGAAGAAGAAAGCAAAAGCAAGTCAAGCACCAACTTCTTCAACTCGGTTTTGAAGCTGCTAAGCTCAAAAAGAGGAAGCGATTTTGAAAAAGGAGAATATTATCATTTCTGTGTGTGTGAGAGAGAGAGAGAGAGAGAGAGAGAAGGAAAGGAAGAAAAGGGGGAGGGAAGTCGTATACTTGGGGTTGTCTTTGTGGGTGTGTGTGAATCTCTCTCACGTGGGGATTGATGGAATGATAGATAGAGAATATATGATTAGAAAAAAAGAGTAAAAAAGCGAGAGAAGAAAAAAAATCATTATTACTTTTCTTTTTTCTCTCTTTCAGAGAGAAAAAAAAAAAAGAATAGGAACTGTTCTTCCTATCTCTTATCTGGGTTTATTATTTTCTTTGATTATTATTGAGATGCTGTGCATGAAAATTCAATGAAAAGAGAAGTTGAGTATTGCTCTTGTTGTAGTAGTATCGGGCTCTTGGAATTGCAGTGTTTTTTTTTTGGTCTTTGAGGAATTTTTTTCTACCAGCGGATCGGTTGGTGTCTTTGAGATTTTCTGTTCCCCACAATACCCACAGCTCCTACTGGTTTCCAGGTATTTTTTTATTGCTTTGTTTTGACTTATCTCTCATTTTTTTTTGCTTAGCTGCTGATTATATTGATTTTGTCTTTTAGATTCTTTCTTAATTTATTTCATGAGTTACTTTCTCTCCTATTTCTATTATCTCCATCTCTCTCTCTCTCTCTCCCCCTTTCCTTTTCTCTCAGCTCAAGATCATGATGGTGATGATCAGAAAGTGATTTATTGGGATTTACAGATTTTGGGTTTGTCCTATTTTCTTGTTTTTATCTTTTTCCTTCTTGGGTAACTCATAATTTTTGGTTTTTCTGATTTTTATTATTTGTTTTCTGACAAATTTTGCTTCTGGACTTCTAATTTGCGATTTCATCAGCCATGTTTAGAGTTTGGATAGAATTTGTTGGGGTCAAGTTTGGATTCTTTGATCCGATTGATATGTGGAGTTCATTTGAGGTGTTGAGAAACCATTGCATTAGTTGCGAAAATTCTCAATGTCTCTCTCAATTCTCCTACTGTTCAACCCATGGATGAAGATGATATGCTTATGCATGTGCATATTGTTTTCTGAATACTATTTTCTATATTGATGCTTAAAGAGTTAAAAGTTGACTGTTATATAATACTTTATAAATTGCTACTGAGTTATGCCACCAGTAATGGCTTTTCTTTTATTTATGCTTATGCTTTTTGCTTGACTTGGTGTGTTTTCTTCCTTTGTTGCAGTATTCATCATCTGTTCTTAAGAAAAGTCAAGGAAAATAAAAGATCCTTTATATTCTAGAGTAAAGTTAGCTTGTGTATTAGAACTTATAGTTGAAGTTCCAAGAGAATTTGTTTCTGAAACATGTTCTGAATTGTCGATAACTGAAGTTGTTTGTTTCCGTTGTTTTTTTTTTTTTTTGCAGTTCCCCGGATGACTGTGTAATCTGAATAGGATAGCAGAGCTGGAAATTTGATAATTTGGGAGAAAATATGGCCACTTTCTACACTACCTCTAACAATCAAAGAGAGTGTCCAATGATCTATTTGAGGGAATCTTTGCCGGGTTCATACCAGGAAGCGCCAGTCCTTCCTGGTAATATGATGGTGTATATGAATTCTGGTGTGTACACAGATGCGATTGCTGGAAATTCTCAGCAGCAAACCAACTGCATTGAGATGCACTCTGTTGAAGCTTCAGATTCAACCTCGCAGCAACAAGAAATTTTGTCAAACCTTGGTGGTTCTCGAATTGTAGATCAAGATTTCAGTGCATGGAGAGATGGAAGGAACGAGATGCTGGTTATGCACCCAATAGGTGGTCCTAGCAGCATTCTTCAAGGTGGACAAAACTTGCAGGGTCAAGGATTATCCCTCAGCCTTGGTAGTCAAATTCCATCTGGAATCCAGATGCCTTCTATTCCCTATAGGAATCCAAATACAGGTTTTTCTTCATTTTTGAATTCCAATCCATCAATTGCTGGCGATGATGGCAGCAGAAACGGTTCTTCCAGAGATGAACACTCAAGAAACGTTGAATATATGTCAACCAGTTTTTCTGGAGGTAATCAGGATTTGAACAAGGGAGACTTATCTCTATACGGAATGTCAAGTATTGCAAGAACCATTCCCAATTCAAAGTACCTCAAGGCGGCACAACAGCTGCTTGATGAAGTTGTTAATGTTAGAAAAGCCCTGAAGCAGCCTGATAATGAGAAAAATCAAAACTCAAATGAACAACATAATTTAAAGGAGGGTGAGGGATCAAAGAATAGTGCAAACCCTCAAGAATCCACCAATAACCCCCCAAGTGAGCTTTCACATGCTGAAAGACAAGAATTGCAAAACAAATTGACAAAGCTCTTGTCAATGCTGGATGAGGTGAGGCTATACATTTACTTCTCTTCTGGTATGATTAGATTCATCTTGGGTTTGACTTATAACTTCATAACGGCATTTATTATTTTCCATGGAAATCCACCCTTCTATCAAATTATCCCAATGTTGCCCCTAATTGTTGCAGAACTGGATAAGTTGCTTTTAAATGTGAATGTACATGATGTGTCTTTAACCGGTTATATTGATTTTAAAATCTGAATCTGCATAATGTGTGTTTGTGTATGAAAATTCCTCGAGAAAGAATAATAAGGTGGATATCGACTTCTGAAAACTAAAGTTTATGACCAATGCTAGTGAAAAAGATGAAATAAATACAGATTAAAGACATGATTTTTTTTTTCCTGTGCTTGCTACCAGAATTGCAGAATAATTGATCTTATCACTGCAGAATATGAAGATTCCCTAAAGTGGACATATTTCAATGATAAGACATATTTATGTAATCTTGATGTTTATATATTATTAAGGCGTTTTGCTTATTCAGTAACTAGTATCTGTAAGCTTATTAATGATAAAAGATAATTATTTCCTATTTAGTTAGGATCTTATTTAGTTCTGTGCTGTAGTTTATTCCATTTAATTAGCATATTTTCGGATTTAGTGGAATTCTTATTTTACTTGTAATCTAGTATCTATAGATAGGGTATTCTACTTTAGTTATTTGGTAGATTATTCATATGATTATATTATTAAAACATCAAGTTATTGATTTGACCATTGAGATTTAAATTTTATATTTGGTTCTTAATATATTTTCAGTTTATTATATTTAAGCTCTTTTTGTCATACATCACTTATACTATGTAGAGCCAATGAAGGGATTCTTGTAGTCTAGCAACCCTCTTTACTTCAATTTATTGCTATTGGTAGTTCTCCGAAGGATGTTGCATAGTACTATATTTCCATTTGTAAATCTTTTTCTCCAAGGAGCTACTACATAAAAACTTCATTATTAGCATGACTTCTAGGATTGAGAATCCTAAGCTCTGTAATGTCAATCTTCCAAACTGCAATCTTGATGAAATATCTTTTTCGATGAATTAGGAGATGGAGTTGTATGAATGGGATATTATTTATTCCTTCTAAGTGTTTCTGGAGAGGCCTAAACCAAAGGAGCATGTTACCCTAAGCATGAGTTTGTAACATTAATTGTGAGCACCAATTTTTAGACATTGGATATTAATTATTAGAAGACAAATTTCCAAAAGGAATAATATAATCCGCCAGTTATGCCTTATCCTGACATCCAGGCTTAGCACTGCCTTCTTAAATCAGTTATGCCTTTCAGAACATCTTCAACCAGTTCTGTAGAATATAATCAATGTATGATCTCACTTCTTTCTTCAATCAGTTATGCAAAATTTGTTTTCTGATTTTTAAGCAGGGCTAAGGCTGATTTCCAGGTTTTCATGTATGTGTATGCCATTTCATTTACTTTAGATTTGTTCATGTTGTATAATGATGACTTTGGGTTGTCACAGGTTGATAGAAGGTACAAACAGTACTACCACCAGATGCAGATTGTGGTCTCCTCTTTCGACGTGATAGCAGGATGTGGGGCAGCTAACCCATACACCGCCCTTGCACTTCAGACTATATCCCGCCATTTTCGATGCTTGCGTGATGCAATCTCGGGCCAATCCGTGCAACTCGTAAAGCCCTAGGAGAACAAGACAATTCAGAAAATAAAGGAGTTG